GCCCGACCCAGGAATCAAACCCAGGGGCCCTTTCCCGGTAGTCGCACTTGCGACCACTCGGCCAACGAGGCAGTCACGATATCCATTCTATTAAGTGGCACAAAATGATATCATTAATTTTTTTCACTAGTTCTAAGTTCTAGATTATTCTTGGTTACAGAAACCAAGAAAAATATCTATGCACATAATTACATAACAATGATTTATAAGACACACACCAAATGTGATTCAAAATTGAGATCCAACGGAAACAAGTGAGCTACGAATAATGTATGCGGTAACATTGCACACAACTATCTTCGACCGAAGTTAGCGAGCGACTGACGAGCTTCCTGATTCCGATTTCAAACTGACAAAATGTAACTCAATTGCATGACTACCTACTAAATAAAATGTTTTGGTTGACGCTGACAATTGGCTGCTGTGCACCGTGTTATGGGTTCGATTCGTAACGGGAAAGTAAATGAAAGAGGAAAAACATTGTATGGAATATTTTGGTTTAAATATGTGTCGTGGGTGCGTTTACAAAAACACAATTTCACCTAGATAATTGTGGATCTCACAGTGAATAGTTTAATTCGAATATAAATTAAATATGTTAATTTATCATCCTCGTTTTTTTCAATAGATGCAAACTTTTTTTATAACCTACTGTAACACTTCTCTGCATCACCCTGTGATTGGCTGGTAGAGAATGCCATCCGGCATTAAGCCCGCCATTGTATACACATTTGTACATAAAAATGTTAAAATAAATAAATAAATCCGGGACTGTTTGTTACGCAATAATTCGAAGATGGAAACCATATAGGGTACCTAACACCATTTTTAATTATTTGCCTTCCAAACCATACAGACAAAAACAACAAAATAAAACAACATTTAAAATAAAATGGTCACCCAATTTCAAATGTCACCAACTTTATACATACCTCAAAGCGTATAATCTAAAGTTTGACAATCGCTGGCACCGTAACATCTTTACGAGCAGTGGTTATAGTTTAATGTTTATTTTTATTAATCCGGGATTACTACACTTAGATTGAAATGGCCATCATTTCCCTGTGGTACAGTAAAAACGTGTTTCTCTATGTACAGGAGGATTTGTAGTGACTTGGACGTCCATATAAAAATATACTTATAAATGACATGAGTAATAAGTTATTTTAGGTTTAAGAACTTGAATATATTATTATTTATGTTTGAAGTTGAATTTATATTTGAAGTTGAAGACTGCCTTGTTTGGGTTTTTAAAAATGTCAGTTGAAGCACGGAGTCTGGAATTGTGCCCGGTATATGGCAATAGGCTCACCCCCTATTACATGAGACATAAATAGTGAAAAGTGGGTGTTACATTGTACAGTGGCATTAAGTGCCATAATGTGCACCTCTGCCTCCCCATTCGGGGATAAAAGGCGTGATGTTATGTGATGTTCATTATTACCATCTTTAGTGTACTTAATTCAATTAACAATAACTTTATATTAGTCTCTAAATACATACGTTTACGAACTATTTTTTTACAATTTCAACCCTTTACTTCTGACCTTTACTGTTTTACAACAACCCATTATGTTGGCCAGACGTCAAATGACGATAAACTTTATAAATTATTAACGTAATCATTAATCCACGTTAGCGGTACGGTGCAAGCGGCTGTTACAGTCTGCAACATTTATGAACTCAGTGGAGAAACTATGGACGAACGGTCATCGATTGTTCCTAGTATTATATATATATTTTTTAACATAACACAACATCACGCCTTTTATCCCCGAAGGGGTAGGCAGAGGTGCACACAGAAGTAACACCCACTTTTCACTATTTATGTTATGTTAGTCATTATTTTTTTTTGAAATGTCTTATTGTGTTCTTCATTTTAATTTTATCCGTCAAAAATTGTATACGTATTTTAGCTTTGTTCTTTTCCAGAATGTTCAACGTTTCAAGAATTGTATCTACCTACAGGTTTTGATGCCCCACCTTAGGATTTTCTCCTGTGTCGTGGGTGCGTTTACAAACATATAATTTCACATACTCATGTCACCTAGACCAGGAAGAACAATTTGTAGATCACGCACAGAGTTGCTTCGTGCGGGAATGGAACCCAATACCCATTGCACGGCAGCCAGTTGCTCAGCCACCCCACCGACCATGCAGTCATTGCATGCGTATATATAGCTTAGTGCTTATTAAACTTGCGAGACAACACATGTTTTTATTTTCTTCTATAATTAACTAGCTTCTGCCGGTTTTCCCGGTCCCGTTCTTGATTTTCAGTAAAAAGTAAAAAAAAAATATTGGGTATAATGTATCCTATGTCCGTCTCCTGGTTTTAAGCTACGTGCCTACCAATTTTGATCCAAATCGATTTAGCCATTCTTGAGTTATTAATAGTGTAACTAACACGACTTTCTTTTATATATATATATATATATGTAGACGCGGTGCGTGGGCGTTCATTTAAGGGTGGGCTGTCTTCCATTGCCATCCGTGAAATAACACTCGGTTTATAATCTCTTGGTTCATTAAAACCGGTCTCACTATAATTCAACTTAAAATAAACAGTAATTTCTTGGAACTGATTAAATATAGGAACGCGGTGAAGTCGGCACGTAGTTGACAACACACCTTCCCGTCCACCCTCCTCTACCGACCGTTGACAGCGACATTAGTTGTAATATTTGTTTCTTTTCAGCTGTCACTCTTAAACTTCATTTTCTTATAAATAAGTCGGTAAACGAGCACATATCACCAGATGGTAAGCAATCAGCGTTGCCTATGGACTCGCAACACAAGAGGAGTTAGTGTAGTTCAGTGTTGACAACCCAATAACCGAATACACCCAAGTCGGCTCAGACTTGACGTTCCATCCTACATTCTACGACATATAGATATTAAAACGTCACTGTCATCTACATGTCAGGCCCAATCTTCTGAAGTTTTATTTACGTTCAATGATCCCATATCGCACTAAACATACACAAATTACCCAAATATCTCTATTTACATAAAACAATGTTTATAATTTACACAACGACTAATCGTCACGCCATGTAAAGTGTAATGGCCGAATCATCGATTAATATCGATTCTCTTAAACTTTTTGACCCTGACAATGACTTTTTATAAAAGTCATGCGACATATAGGTATAGTAACAGACGATGTTATGAATTATAAATTGAACCTAAAAGACCATTTTGTATAATTATAATTTCTATGTATAAAGGTCTAGAAAAAATGTAACGTTTACTTTAATTAGATATTGACGTCGCGCTCCTGGAGCGGGGTCAACTGACAAAGAGATAGATAGATAAATTGAGTTGATGGTTGATAGAAAGGAAGAGAACAATCAAAGAAAACGAATATAAAATATTGTGTGTAGAATGGTATGAAAGAGAAAGGAGTTTGTGCTAGAGAAAAATGGGAAAAGAAGACAAATATTGACCTAAAGTAATCTGGAGACTTGGCAGGAAGAAGATAGAGAGTGAGTGACTACGATAAGTTTCAAATTCGCATGCTTTAAAGACCATTTACATTGTTCTGAAAAGTGGGTATACCGTTTATTACTATCAATGTCTGCTTCTTCAGTGATTTAATAATAATACCTACGAAGCTACGAGCCCTGGATTGAAATGCCCAGGGACAAAGGATGCCTGGCAGACCTCGGCAAACCTGGCATCGTACTGTGATAAGAGCAGCAGCGGGCATCGCAATGACGAGGAGCGAGGTGAAGCGAGAAGCTTAAGACTGATCGAGATGGAGAACCTCTGCCCCATCTAGGGGACGTAGAACTATAAGTTAAGTAAGTCAAAAAGCTACCAATTTACTTGGGGCTATGGCTAAACGAATCTCACCTCAATTACATAAGATAATTCTGAACACAATTTCACAACCTTAGCCATACAGTACCTAAGTAAATTAACATTGTACCTTGATGATGTCAAGAAGAAAGAAAATATCAATTGCGCCCTTTAATGACCAATTACTGGAAAGGGCGAAGAAATATAAACCAGTACGAACTAAGGAACAAAGCAAGTCCATTAGTAATTTGAATCTTCGATATACGATATTCTTACTTGCTTAGGCTTGGTAGCATAATTTCTGAGGGATATTGGTACTGGTAGGCAGCAGGTCAAGTCACTCTTTCTGTGTGATTCCTGCAATAAATTTAGAACTTTGATGTTTTGATATTAAGTTAAAAGTCCAATGAAAACATTTAAGCTTGGACTGAGTTGGCATGTTGCTATTCAGTGTGAGTTAAGGTAAGTTAGTTAATTGGGTACTGAATCTTGATTGTAAAATCCGTTCTAAATCCATAGAGGTTGTAATTGGAGTATGTGATGTGTTTTATCTTTTGTTATGTTTCATATGACGATAGTCGATTTAAATTAAAACTAAACAGAAAATTCGCATAAAGTAATTTTTGGGCTGAGCGAGTTTTAAAAAAATTATGAAGTTAGCATAATTATTCTAGCGTATAACTAATTTGGTGTCGTTTACCATGGACACATGAGTGTGAGTAAAAAATACGGTACACGGAAGATAAAAATTACTACTCACTATGAATCTAAACAAGAATGGCATCTGTATGGCTGTTGCAATATAAATATTATTGACTCACCTAAATACTGATCCCTCGCTCCTGGTTGAAACTCGACACTAACTCCATATTAGTTTACACAAGACCTATTATAATCAAACAGCAAAATTAAACATTATTATTTTTACCAAGTCATTCTGACAGATTAAAAATAAATAAAACCTCATTTGATAAACTCTTGACAAGATAAAGAAGTAAAAAAAAAATCACATTCATCTCTTTGTGGGCGGGCATAGCTCACAGAATGACAGCTGCGGTATTCTAAATTTAAATAAAAATAAACCCACGTTCTGTGGCATCCGACTAGTCTCGCGATGTATGGCCAGTACGCCAGTGCTACGACGTAGGCCGGCGTAGCCACACGCTGCGCTCCGTAGCCGCGCGCTACGAGACTACGTACGAAAAATTCAGTGCTTTTGGAGTTCGTGCTTTCGAATATAAATGATAAAAATATATAAACGTTTAGTGAAGTTTTGTTCTTAAAATAGAAGATACTAAAATTATAGTTTTTTTTAGTTAATTTGTAATTTAAATGGTTCAATTAAAATGAGTGTAGAATTTTTGAATTTACTGAAGTATGAAGCGAAGATTGAATCTGACAGTAAATGTAAGTTGATATATATTGTTCATTAATTTTAATTTAGGCGTTAATTAATATTATATTTACTTAAATCATATGATTTTATTAAAAAGAATAATTAAAAACATTTGAATATGTTTCCAAAATTCAATCAAGGTCACTATATACAAGATGGAATTTTAATTACATCAATTTACAACTGAAACTTCTGTATAATGCTAAAAAGGAACAGCATAGCAACAAAATAATTATATTCCCAATATTTTAATTAAGTTTATCGCTATTAAACTCGACGATTACAGCTGGAGATCCTTGTCGATCGAGTTTATACTCAAACACGCACAATTTACGTCTTAATATGGGAAAGCACGCAATGAAATACTTAAATAACATTCATAAAATCGCCAATGATTTATTTATTGGTAAGCCTTCACCCACTATGTATATACTATACTATGTACCCAAAAAAACTAGTTTTAAGGCCATTTAACTCGTCGAGTACCGGTTTTGTAGACACAATTATAGAACAATAGGTTGCGGTCACCGGTGACCGCTTGGTGTTTGACAGTTTAAATAAGTTACGTCATTAACAAGAATTAGAACGTTTATTTGAATGAAGAATAGTAAGTGTTCCGTAAACAGAGTTCGGAGAGTTGTAGGCCATTATTTATAACGCATAAAATGCTGACAGTACCATCACTCTATATCAAAGAAGTAGCACTGTTTATTAGAAGCAACTCTCACTTATTTCCCACTTTGGCTGAGATAGTACAAAGAAACAGTAGACTATGAATTCACCTATCTAAAACAGCACTAATGCACAAAAGCGTGATATGTATGGCTCCCATAATTTATAACAAAATTCCTAAAGAAATTATTAAATTAAATTTAAACTTATTCAAACCAGCGTTGAAAAAACTACTAGGTAATAGATGCTAATATAGTGTTCATGACTTTGTAAATGACAAATGTTTGTAATATTTCTTTGATTGTCCTAGTCAGGAGGTTTGAGTCTCTTATAGGAATGTTACAATTTAAAAGTTTAATTACTGTTATTATTAGATTTAATATTATATTCCACATTTGTGCACCATAAATGGTCAAACATGTTGATACTATGCTCACTGCTCATCTGTACATCTTATAATGTGCATTCTATGATGTATTATTATTTCACAGGTGTTTTTGCAAATAAAAAATATTTGTTTTTGTCCATAGGTGATAATAATTATAAAAAATAGTCCAATATACATCATCTACTGTTTTCGGCATGCAAAATTAAATTTTACAATTAATAAAGATAAAATATTATAATTAATAGGAACTAATTACAAAAATGCTTACAACTAGGATAACATACATTATTGCTCCTAACATATTATTATTACTTCTCTTCTGTGTTCATTAAAAATCATTAACAAACTTTAATTTCAATTAAACTACAACGGAATTTAATTGAAATTGAATTAAACTTCAATTAATTAAAACTTTAATTGTATCTAATTAATGTTGTTGAAAGTATACCAATGAGCTCGAGGTATTTATTTATAGTAGATCAAAAATCATGTACTCTACTAATTAACGAATTAAATAATGTATCTAGCAGTAGATACTTCGCCAATCATATGTATATTAATTGTCGCGGAGAACCTAACGGGTTACCGGGGCTCCGGCTCGATGTGCAGGAGTAGGAACGGGGTGGTTTTTAGTCAGTAAGAGTCTGACACTCCCTCCCGCCTCACCCAGACGGGAGCAGGCATTCGATGAGTACCCCCCTTAAAAAAAACATATAAGAAAACAGGATAGTCAATCAGAGAAACTTATACTGAAACAATATTCCTGTCTTTAACCAACTAAATGAAGTTTTACTTCAGTTCACCTCTAGTTGCCAATTTACGAATAAATCAATAGTAATAAGTCTTTATAGTGAAGGAGGCGGGGTGCCATAATCCAGGTGCAATAATCTTGGCAGGCGGCTTGGGGATCGCAGTCAGTCGCTGATGTATTTAATAATGCTGCAGCCCATTTCTCGGTGTCTGATCGCAGTTTACGACGTATCCGGGTCACGAATTCTTTAGGAGGTCTTTACGAAGCGTGGGCAGGCCTCCCGCTAGGTGGACCGAATACATCGTCAGAGTTGCGGAGAGCCAGTGGATGCTGGTGGCCCGGAGCTTTAAGAGGCCCGCTTCTCATGCATGAGAGTGCGAGTTTGAAACCTATTAATGGGAAGTACCAATGTGACTTTGTTGCATAAGTACTTTAGAAGATTATTTAGACACCACAGTCAAACGATGAAGGAAAACATCGTGAGAAAACCTGGACTTATAATTTCTAATTATAAATTTGAAATCCTCAACTCATATTGAGCAAGCGTGGTGATTAATGCTTAAACCTTCTCCGTGGAAGATGTGCCCCTTACTCTTCTCTTACGATTACTGTGGGAAGAGTAGGAATAGTGATAAAAATAGACCCTGCCTTCACCAGACTTATATATACAGTCATATTGTGTCTATATCAAGTACTCATATGTATGTCAGCTGTCTGACAAGGCATATAATATCGAACATACACACAATAGTCTTACCTCCCTATGTTTTATTCAGTTCTAATCGATAACATTACCTACGAACTCTGAATCGATTTAAACGCAACTTTTACCTATTGATACGTCTACAATCTGTCAAAATCATCAATCTAAATGGAATTTTATGTTTGGACTCATTAAGTTTAGATTCCTTTATTGATTTGTTGGGTTTGAAAGCAGAGTTTGAAGTTTTGTCTGATGTTATCGAATGAGGTTAATCGTTTGATTACAGTATGGTGTGTGTGAGAGTCTAATGTTGTTGTTTAGAACATATATACATGAACTCACGCCTGTCTCCACTGTGAATAGGCTGGAACGCCAATTGTTATGACAATTACAGACCTCTTTCGCTTCATCAAGTCATTAGTTTTTTCATGCATGTTCGTTGTTTAGAATTAAACAAATAATTGTGATAAAATACAATACATCATTAAATATTACAGTTAAAGATAATTGACTAGTTATTTTATTGTACTCTGGACCTACCGAGCATGAATTCTTGAGTTTGATCAATCCATAAGTATGGTAAGTAATAATATTGTATGTCGTTAACTTTATGAAGTAATTTTTGTTAAGTGCGGAATGCTAAGCTTTGGGATAATTGGGCAGGCTCGGCCAGAGTGATACCACGGCCTCACAGAAAACTGATGTGAAACAACGCTTTCGTTGTGTTTCATCCCGTAAGTGAGGTTACCGGAGGCCCGACTACCCCACCCCCCTTTTACCCAATTCCTGAATCCCCAACATTCCTCAAATTCCTAATCCCCAAAAGGCCGGTAACGCACTTGTAACACCTCTGGTGTTCCAGGTGTGCATGGGCGACGCCGATCGCTTACCATCAGGTGATCCGTCAGCTCGTTTACCGGCTTATCCCATAAAAAATTAAATGTTTTATGTTGTTATTAAACAGTTTTTGCTCATTGACATCATGATGTCAGTGGCCAGTACATGACAAATATTTATCTATGCTGTTACAACCTTTTGAGTAAGTTGACAGTTTGACTACCGACAGAAAACTGTTTAAGGTAAATCCTCCGCTATCGTGGCCCTTACCTTGTCCCCCATGGCGTTCAAGGTGTTAATAACTTTTAAGTGTTTAATAAAATGTTTTGTCTTTACTTATTTACAGTCATCTTTCTATAGTCATAAGGAAAATTGACTGTAAAGTTACATTCTATAACATGAATAAACACAGCTGTAATGGCCTTTACAAGATGTCTCTATTCATGTCATGTCAGTTTGTTTTATTTGAATAAGTCTCTTTAGATGAATAGAATTACTTCAGTTTAATTACCATTGTTGTTGGCTAATTATTATAAATATTATTTCTGTGTTCTACGAGATCGTCGAAGGAATGGTCACTGTAGGAGACGCCTTGTCGCACGAAATTGCATCGTAGCAATTCGCATCGTAATTTTTTGCGTTGCGAATTCGCATCGCATCGCATCAAAGTTTTGTGTACGAGACCTCAATTACATATATTATGTAAAGGTACTTTCAAAATCAAAAACAAAAACACATCAGTCTATTTTCCAATACAACTATTTGCTCATTATTCCATTCCTAAAAATCAAATGACTATTAGGTACTTATATCTAATGTAAATAAAGCATTTTTTTCTTCCACTCCCACAAGTATAACAAACGATTTGTTTTCCCAATTAAATTTTCTGAGGCATCCAAAGTATGCCTTCATAGCTATTTTAAAGGTCAGTAAAATAATGCCATGAATTCCTTTATGAGGGACTCAGTTTCTCATTACTTCATCTGTGTGGCATCTGTCCTTCATAATCTGTGTAAACAGGCCAGGGTCGATGTATAAGTCAATCCTTTATTTATGTATTACAGTGTAAAATGTCTATTTGATGGTTATGATAATAAAGTCAAATTTGAATCAAGTGCCCGGCCTATATGGCAATAAGCTCACCCCCTATTACATGGGACTCATAACATAAATAGTGAAAAGTGGGTGTTACATTGTACAGTGGCATAATGTACATCTCTGCCTACCCCTTCCGGAAAAAAGGCGTGATGTTATATTATGAATGTGTAAAATTACGATATCTATAAAATATTAACTTAAAAATAAAAATGAACGTTATTTCAGTTGAGGATGTTTCAGAACAAAGTAGATGTACGATAAAGTGTACAGCTGTTATTTTAAGGAAATAAAATGTGTAATGTAAATAATTGTTTATTTGTGTAAAGTTGAACATTTATCTAATAAATATGTTTTTATAATAGTTACTGTATTATAGATTTTCGTGACTTTTATTAAACTTTTAAAGCCCACAGCTTAAAGTTTGGAAGTTTAAATCTACTATTAGAATTTAATATGTAGGTACGTGTATATAACATTAAGCTTATTTTAGTTTTATGAGGTCTATCACAGCATTGGGATTTATATTATAACTTTCGTGAGACATACTATATTAATTTTTATG